GAATTTTATATTATTTATCATAATATAGACATGCAGTTGTGGAATTATAGATTAATCGGAACGTGCTTTATCACCGCAGAATACGTTTACGCCACATGAGCAATACTTTTGTATAATTTACGTGTCACCAAAGACTACCTAAATGATTTTTTAACATAAGTAGTGTTTACGTCTAAAATTTTATGGTCTGTTCAAATTTGCATACAATAGTTATCCTGAGGTTTTTACCACCGTTGCCATTGGGATTATACCTTTTTTATTGTAATATCATTGTATTAAATATAACTATATCAAAAAACATTTTCTTAGTCAAGAAATTTCAGTTAAATATTTGTCGAGAAATTTTTAGAAAATATTTTGAAAATGAAAAAATACTTCTGAATCATTTTGACTGTTAATAAGAAGCTCTAGTTTATGATTTGATTTTTGTGACAAAATGTCTGTCTATATGCAATATAATATCTAAGTATTATTTGTGGATTTAGTTTATTTTTGTTTTATCGTTCAGTTATTATAAATTAATAGGTCGGATTATTTTATTTCATTAATATTTATTTTTTGTCTATGATATATCTTCTAATATTTGTAATAAGTACTGTGACTTCTTCGTTACAATTTATTGGTGACATATAGGTTACAATAAATCCTCTTCAATAAACATTAGCTTAGAGTTAAGAGATATTTTCATCTGCTATTATCTAAAAATTGTAAATTATTTATTTTTAATCCGCTCTTTACGTGTAAAGGCCATCAACGTGACATGAAAGAATTGTGTAAACGCAAACATACCATTAAGTAAAAAAGAACTTTTTGCTTATATTTCCTTTTTGTTTACTTTTTAATATTGAATTGGGAGGTAAATATATACTTTACTCTTTGAAGTAAAATATTTGACTGGATTTTATTTTAAAGGCTTGAAAAATGCGGAAAATTTTATAGTGCTTGAAAGAATTATATTAAACCCATGCCACCGTGCGCCAAGGGCGGGTAGGTATTCTATTTCTTACATTTGCTCAGTTCGCAGGACGCTAGCCGCCGCATTAGTCCCATAATATATAAGAATACGCGGGTTGGGGCGGATCGGGTTAATTATAAATGTAGTATAATTCACAGGTAAAAAAGCGTCTACCCTAGCTTGACGGAAGATACAGATCCATTCCTACCTGAGGCAAATTTTTTCAACAGTAGATATGTACTTAAATTTTCAATAATGATACACATAATAATAACTTACTATTTTACCCAATAAATTGCAACCTTAAACCTAGGTATAAACTTCGTAGCAGAAGTAGAAAAATCGCCGAAAACATCTCTATAAGCACTTTTTGTCAATTTTGATTACATTACGTATACTAATTAACTGTGCTTTGTTTATCTTAACAGAATACCTACACAAGTTTTAGTCCAATAATCCTGTCTGACACGTTTTTACATCAAATATAAATTTATGAATTCCTTAAAAAGAGATATCAATATTAAAAGAAAAAGCAGTAAGTAATTAAATTAAACTATAAGGACCAGACCAACTGTGTGCATTTAACCATGTCCTAACAACATTCATGAGACCTAAGTATTAGTTATCATAAAAGTACTAAAAGAAAATAACCGTCAAATTATTCGAAACTTTAGACGTTTGCTCTGTCGTTATAATTTAGCGGCAAGATTTATTTCGAATCTTCTACTTTAGATTTGACCATGTCATTGTCATATTTATTTGTGCCGCACAGTACACAGAGCTGATATAAAGGCTCAAGTATTTAAGACGTGTCATCCTCTGACTTATTTACGGGAAGCCTTAGTGTTATATTCAATGTGAAATTGATTAATCAAACCAGATGACACAAACAAAGCTACCGGCGTATTTAATGATAAGATAACTGATGTACCTACCCAGTAAACTAAATAAATCTTACGTAGAAAATATTTGTACAGCCTTTAATTAATCATCGTTTGTAAGTCTATTATTTATGATATGTTTGAATAAGAACAAAATTAAAAATCTAGTTTTATAGAGCATTCATTATATTTGATCCAACTACATGATATTCTGATGTATACGAAATATATATTAAATTATATTTGTATGCAAAGACGATAAGGAGTTTTATGCCATTTTATGTTGTTCATATTCAATTCAAAGAAAGAACTGCATGCTTCGAGCTTACGTGTATAGTTAAGTGACTCAATGATCCGTTGGAGTGTAAATATAAGTTAAATGCCTCCAAAAAGGTTCTCTATTCGACATGTAAGTCATTGGTTGTTTTTTTTGAAGGTTAGTCACCAGCCTATTAATGTCCCTACTGCTGGGATTCATGCCTTCCCTATGAATGGAGTCGTAAATTTACAAAGAAATAACTTCCAAATAAGCTGTAACTAAGTAAGAAACTACATTACATTATTAAAAAAGAACGAAGTGTAAATAAAAATTTCAGCATTTAAAAAATCACATGGTTTACCTTATAAGTTAATTTGTTGTAATTAAATCTTTTTTCATAAGGTAATTAATAAATATACGAGTCACTTTTAACCGAGGAAATACCGCAGCACTTTTACAATAAACGTAATATTCAGCAAGTTATTAATTAAATAAAATTAATAACAGTTTTTTCGGGCAATTCGCTGTCCTCGACCCTACTTTATTGTGATCGCAACGAGATGGGCAGTCAGTCGGCAGGACAGTCTTTTGAGTTTCTCTTAAGATGTGTGGCTTTTGAGTTGTAGCAAAATCTATTTTCAAAGGTACGATAAGTATTGATATATCTTTCAAAATAAAATTCCAAAAAATGACGACAAATTTTTATTTATTTGCCTGTCACGTAGATTTTTGAAGAATATTAAATTTTTTATTTTTATTTTTACGTAATCAATAAATTACGGCGATACATTGAGTTGAATTGTCGTATAACGTCACGCTTTCAACTTTAATACCTAATATCTAAGCCATCTCTTGTTTAAATTGAAGCAAAAAAAAATATGTTTCTAATATTTTTGTATTAACTGACTGACGAACTACAAAGTTTTTTTTTACCTAATCGTCATCCTTATTAGAACTGCCTTCGAAAAAGATTATTCATTTTGTTAACCCCTTTAAAGATATTTATCCTATACATTAAGATAAATTGCTGTTCGTGTGTTTAACTCAAATTCGAGAACGGTTGAGCCGATTTAGTTGATTTTCGTTTTAAAAATGTTAGTCCTGGGAAGATTGACACATAGTACACCGGGTCATTTAGATGAGAATATATTACCGATGTGTGAAGACCATTATTTTTTAAGATAGTTTAAGTGATATTGTCAAAACACTTAAAAATTACCTAGGTTAGTTCATACTGGTATACCTATACTTTGTATAAAAAATCATCAGGTGGAAATATGAACCTACACTTAATACAATAAAAATAGAGTCCTCGACGTGGATTAGAATTTGTTTGTTCACACATCATGGATTTACTTTGAAAATCGAGACGGCTTATCAATCCGCGATATCAAAACATTTATCACAATAAAGATTTAAACTAATCCCCGTAGCTACAACAAAATCAGTTCCTGACGCGACGCAACTATTGTAGTTTGCACAATAAGTGGTAAGAGCCATTTAACAACTTGATACTCTAAATTACTAATAAGCCGAAACGTAGCACATTGATATCGTTATCTAACGTAAGACTTAAACCATAAACCGCTTTCGCTTTTCCATATTATAACAGGCATAAATAAGGTAAACGAAACTATACCAATATTATAAAGGAGTAAAGTTTCTAACTTCGTTTGTTTGTAGGGAATCTTCGGAAATACTGATCCGATCTTGAAAATTCTTTAACCTACGGGAAACTACATCAAACGCAAGTGCCATAGGTTATAATTTATGTGGGCAAGGTTGCGGGAAAACAGCTAGTTGCAAACTCGATAGAATATATTAGTCATATTATGATACTCTTAACATTGGTAAGTAACAAAGTGAGTTACGTGGATAAAGGAACCAATAAAAACTTATTAGTTGCCAAAAATTTTAAGTGTATCTTCAAGAAAATAATTTCCTAAATAACTTAGGCCTATTATAGGTGTACAGACTCACACCGAGAAATCTAGTCCAACCTTCTTGACCAGAAGAAATATAAAGGAATGAGAAGATGAGAAACATATCACATTCACGAGTCTCGGGTGTTTTCGGGGCTTCTCGACGTGAGTCTGTCCGGCCTCAGAGATAATCAGAAGTACCACAAATCAAAAGAAAAGCAAAAACAATCTACCTACAAAAGTTTATTTTTTAACAAAAATATTTATTTGTGAAATATTTGTAGGTAATTTTTATCTGTTATTTCCTGAATATTGAAACTACGACTTTTGTATAGGTACGTCGAATTAGAATATTCACAGTTAATTATTAGATTTGCGCCAATAATTAATTTAGAAGGATCTACAAATGCTAAATGAATGAGGGTAATTATCAATACAAATGTGGTGTTAGTTTAAGTGATAATGCATCGTATAACAAAAGAAATGCGTTTTAAAATGGCTTAACAAGTTTTGATGTACGACCTGTGGTGCGACTATTTATCAAGATACAACCATTTGTATTAGCCAATACGAGAATGTGCCCATCGTAAGATTTACGTTTGTGACACGCGGCTTTGATATTTATTTTATTATTGAAAAATGAGTAAACAAACTAACTTAATAATAGAAAACAGAGGAAGTAAACTCGCTTTAGCAGTTAAGTAGTAAAAGTATTGTGATTCACGTTTATTAAACGGACAAATAGGGAACGTTTTGAAATGTAGATACAAAGTAATTTTTGATTAAAAACAAAATTGTTTGTTTATTTTGGTAAATATTTAAAAAAATTAAGTAACAAAAGAATAACACCTTGTTTTTCATGAGATCCTTTTCTTCGAATATTAGTCCAGATATAAATGTTTTAAATAAGATGTGACTTATTGGTATCACGTAACTTTTAGAAAGGATTTGACCATTATTTTCAATTTAATTTATTTTTACAGGCTTAGATTTCTTGGAACATGGAGCCGATTTTGAGGCGGCTATATCTGCCACTGGTACGTTACAAAATAATATAATTATCATATTTTGATTAATTTCGTATTTGTCATTAAGGAATTTAGTTAATTAATAAAAAGTTTCATAATTTTAATTTTTTTAAACTTATATTCGAATATTGAAATGTTTATTATTAACGAATTGTTTACTCGTTGTACTACATAATGTCAATTTTAAAATTAAATTTAAAAAAGACTTATTTAGCTGTAGTCGAATGAAAATAAATACTCCTCAATATTAACATAACATTTTGTTTTGAATGATTTTACTCCAATAAATATAATTACTCTGTCCTTAGGCTTCGGTCGGTTTCATTTCTGCTTGCTGGCGGTGACGGGGCTAATCTATGCAAACACAGCCATCGGTATCACCATAATATCATTCGTACTGCCAGCTGCAACATGTGACTTCCGAATGACGTCCGAAGACAAAGGCTGGCTTACTGCAGCGCCTATGTTGGGTAAGCTAATACGCTCATAATAACAGAATTGAGTGAGGACTCCTTTCGTCCTGAAACTTGTTTTCAATATTTTTTTACTATTATTTAAACCATACCAACTTTATAAAGAAATAGTATTTGTCAAGTTTTATAACTCATTTCTTAGAAAATACACTTAGATTGGTTTTTAGGTTGATCATATTAATTCATGTCCAGAAATTCATTCAAAATTTATACGGACAACCACATGTACAACAACCATTTATATAGCTGAATAAGATTATTTATTATTATATTAGAAAATACTTCTAACTCATCTTAATTATTACAGGTATGGTTATTGGTTCTTATTTCTGGGGTTGCTTGGCCGACACCAAAGGCCGTAAGGTGGTGTTGGTTTCCACGCTACTCATTGATGGATTCGTAGGAATTATATCGTCCTTCGTCCAGATCTTACCAATCTTTATGGCTTGCCGATTCGTCAACGGTTTCTCGTAAGTATTGTATACCCTTGTAATATTTATACACGTAAGGTATAAAGCAAATATTTTTTCCAGTACTTATGCCAATAGTTCCTGAAATCCTAATTGTTGTAAAGAGCACACGCCGCACAAAACGTAGCAGATTCAAAGAGCTTAGCTTGTGATACTGCACGTGACCACGCGTAATAATCTTAGAATTATATTTATATTTAAAAGTGGCTACAATTAGTAACTGTATTTAAAGAGGCAGAAGATTCATTATTGAACAACATCAAGGACAATGGTAATAATTGATCCAAGCATGTAATGAAACGCGGTTCCCACATTCACCAATTAAAGATAAATAACACATAACTAAACGATGTCATCCAATTCACATTATTAACTCCCAGAAGAGTGTTCAAGTACTAAATTAATAATTATTTGATTTATTATAGATTTTTTGGTTCTACAGTGAACCATATTATTAAAATATCGTAGGCAAATTTGAATCGTAAATTTATAATCACTGACGTGAGAAGGCTTTGTACTACGATTAACATCTATTAAAATCAATGAAATTAATTATGCAGGTATTAGAAACTTACTTGCGATTAATCAAATCCTCAAAGAGAGATAATACTGTTATTGGATCTCTTTATTTTATTTTAATCTTTTACCATTCGAATACAACTGTAAAAATTTGTTAATGAATTAATATAATAATAATAATCAAAATTGTAAAAATGGGAACCTTAACTATTCGTTTTCAAGTTATTATTTATGCCACTGAAATTTTTCGAAGTCAAATGTTTAGTTTTTATTTAACTGTCTAGTTGAGCGGGTTCACGTACTCGATATTTCCGGATACCTAGGCGAATGAAGAAAATTTTCATTTCTGTATAGTAGGTACTGTAAGTGACTTTTTCTGGATGACTTATAGTAGGTATTGTATAAACCGTTTCATCTTCTTTTAATGATCTTCTGTGTAATATCATCATCTTATTTTACAGAGTTGCCGGTGCCATGGGTATTTGCTTCCCATATTTGGGTGAATTCCAACAAACAAAATACAGAGAGAAAATCCTCTGCTGGATGGAAATGTTTTGGACTTTGGGAGTCATCTTGTTACCGCGTAAGCTTTTTTTTATCTTAAATTAGCCTTATTATTGAAAGACTCATTGCGAGTTTCTATTTTTTTCATCACAATTACAGCATACTATGAGGATCATCTAAGAGTAATTGTTTCGAAAAGTATTGCTTATAACAAAACTACAGCAACATTTAAAAAAATTTAATTAAAAGCAGAAACATATTTAAACATGTTTCTTTAGAAACTAAATCAATATCAACATTATGGATTAAAATACCAATTTACTTACTTAATAGGAAATTTACACCCATTTTCACTAACCTAGAACAAGGCATAGCTTAACTAGGAAATGCCTAATATTACAAATCGCCTAAGCAGATTAATTTAATTACTAATAAATATTTTTTTCTTTTCTCCCTTGACATATTTATGACTTGTCATATACATAGCTAGGCATTTGTAGCGCAAGGCGCCGCATAACAAATATCACAACTTTAGACATTGCTTAATTTCGTTAGGTGGTTCCTAGTGAAATGAATTTTTACCTTAGGCGACAGATTTGGGCGACTCCTAAGTTTAGTGAAAACGGACATAAGAGTTTTTGTTATGTATCGACTTGAATAAAAGCCTGGTTTTATGTTTTTTCCGCAGTGATAGCTTGGGGAATTATCCCTATTACGGGTATTAGAATGGAAAGTGGCGCTTTCTCATACGATTCTTGGAATTGGTTCGTCTCCGCTTGCGGAGTGCCTTCCCTACTACTTGGTTTCTGGCTCCTTACCTTCCCCGAAAGTCCTAAGTTCATGATGGAATGCGGAGACTACGACGACGCCTTGTCGGTCCTAAAAGATATTTACAGACAGAACACCGGCGATGACCCTGACAACTATCCCGTAAGTTTAAATATTTACCAAGAGCAATATTTTTTGTCTAAAGCAGCGAATACAGAGATTCAGAGAGAATTAAAATATCACAGCTACTACACATTCCAGAGATTGTCATAAGCTACTCATAAATAAATAAAACCAAAATTTTATCAACTGACTAGAAGCAGGATAGTTTGCTCGACATTTTAAAATAATTGTAACAGATATAAAAAAAATACAGTAGATAAATTAGAACAAGGAGGGTGTCCATTTTGTTTTTAATAATTTAGTTTATTGGTTACAGTATATGTCTTTCTTGTTCTTACTCAATAAACTTGCATTAAATGTTCCAACTATTTCGAAATTAAAGCAATTTTCTAAAATACTACTTATGTTTATTCATACAGATCAAAAGCCTGAAGGAGAAAGTGAGAACCGTGTCAGTGGCATCGCAAAGCTCTCAGAAATCTGTCCGTAGCCTAAGTATGCGCAAACGCAAAGACCTCAAGAGGTTGTTCAGCGAAATTTGGGTACAGACAAAAGCACTATGCAGACCCCCTTACCTCAAATACACAATACTCACATGTGTCATCCAGTTCGGTCTGACTACCAGGTAAAAACACTATTGTGTATTAATTATGGTAATTGCACGCCTGTTGAACTGATTTATTAATTATATCGTGTCGTGGAACTAATCGAAGGCCAGCTTTGCCTGGTGGAAGATCACCTATGTAAACAATCTTACGGTTTAATTCTGTCTATTGTATTATTATCTCCATCACGTGCTGAAGGCGCATGTAAATTATGACTATTGAAATAAAAGTATTATTGTTAGCGAAAATTTCAAAATTCAACCTTGTCTTCACCTATGTTGGACTTCAAATTCATTTTTGGTTATAACTTTAAATGTAATTTTTTTAGATATATTTTATTTCAGTACGATGCTTGTTGTTTTTCAGTTACTACACTCTCATGATCTGGTTCCCTGAATTGTTCAATCGGTACGAAGAGTTCGAGACCCGTTTCCCCAACACGACTGCTTCTGTTTGCGACGTGTCTGGCATCGTAGTAGCAGACGGGGAGAACTCGGATCCCTTTGATTGTCTCAAAACCATTGACCAAAGCGTGTACATGCATACCCTCATTGTTGGTCTGGCCTGTATACCTACTTCGCTGTGGCTCCCACTATGTGTGCACAAACTTGGAGCCAAATTCTTCCTGAGTAAGTATTATTATTTACTCGCCTAATTAATTAATACTAGAAAACACATACTTTGCTTACCCGCAATCGCGGTTGATCGATATTGTAGTTGTGTCATTCCGTACTCTTGATTTGGAACAGTAGCGCATATTGACGCCTATATTTCGTGGTTATTGAATGAACTAATTGACATCGAGTGAGTATTGATTCTGTGTTCCAAGAATATGAACTAAGATTTCATAAAAATTGAGATCTTTATTGGATTGGATTAAAATTGAAATTGCGTTTAAAAGTAAGCCTGCCTATCTCAAATTAATTAGTACCTAAAAGCCGTTGGTAACTTGAATCCCACAACACCGAGACGAGTTCAAGATCTAATCTCTCTTCCTTGCTTTTGTTTTTATGAATACAAAAAATATCACCAAAAGCTGAGTGCGATGTTGTCTAATATTTGTAAATAGAAAATACGAATCATGATGAAATATTATGGATTGTAGACATTTCAATATCTATAACATAAGAACAATTTAAAGAGAGATAAACGAAGGAAATTTTTGAGATGCGTAGGTTATCGTACAAGCGATTACTTTCGGGATGATAATATCACAATGATAGAATCAGATAATTTCAAGTAGGATGTATCATAGTCTATGGATTTTTCATAGTCTTAGAATATTTCCAAAAAAAACAATAGTATAAGTATTATCATAGATAAAGTATTTATCATTTTAGTTTTTTTGACAGCTACATTCTTATAGTTTTGAACAAGATTTTCAAGTTGCTTAGATCAGTGGTTGTTAACCGGTGGTCTCTGGAACTTTTCAACCGCCGCGGAACCTTATAAAATTATTATGTGTTCCGTTAGACGTCCGAAGTCCATTATGAGAGAGTACATCGTTTTCTTACTTTTTATTTCCTGTAATGTCGCTATCTCCAGTTCCGTTTCCGCTGTACGTCCGCAGCGCCCCCTAGCGCCCTTAAGAAAAACTTTCTCCCGCCAAAGACAAGCCGCCATATTTGTCATTGTTGCGTCGTTTTTTTCAACGGTTGGAGCATTTTATCAATGTCGCGAAAAATTTAAGAATTTTCGAGATTAAAGTAGAGAATTCTATGTTTTTGGTGTCGTGTGACATAAAATAAAGTGTTATTTCAAATATTTATTTGAAAAAAGTGTCTCCGTTCCGTAAATTTTTTTTTATAACCGCGTAGTGGATACCTTCACATCATGAGTGATAAAAATTCACCTCGAAGAAGTTCCCAAAGTTCTTCATCGTCGCGGGGATCTTCATCGGATGCTTCGCGCGAGGCGAGTCCCCCGCCGGCTAAAAAGAAGAAGTCGGTGGCTCAACCTGACCGAATAATAGATAGCTCCGATTTGGATCGCAGGTTTGACATACTATCTCAACAACTGGTGAGTCACGTGAATAGTTTTTTACTGTCAAATTATACGCAGATTAATTCTATGCCTCGTACAATAGTTCCAAACCTTGAAATCCCAAATGAAAATTTAGGTATAGAAAACGAGAGCTTTTTGCGTCCTCCTGTAGAAACGGTTTCAAAGCTAGGTGACATAGCAGAATTAGATGTATCCGTTAAAGAACCCTCGATATCTAAGGCAAATCCGGAAAGATTAGCAAAAATTTCTTCCATGCAAAGATTTGATTCACCTGATTGGAATTCAGTGCGATATTCGGACATTCAGAAAAAATATATTGCTACCCCCGCCTTCATCGAATTAAAAGTAAATGAAGAAATGCGACGTTTAGAAGACCCCTTCGCTCCTTTAAGATGGTTTCAAATGGAACGTAGTTTTGCGACACTATCGAACGCATTTCTAGCACAAAATGAATCGGTAAATTCAGCTTTACAAAACCTGATTGACTGGTCTGCCACATCTAATGTGCAAATGACGCCGTCGAGTCTTTATTCAAAACTGAAGGATTTATTTGGAAACGACTCGGCATATAAGAATGTATCTCACGATATCTTACAAATTATTTGTGGGAAAAGAGCGGAAGTTCTTGAACTACGACGTCGTACACTACTGAAATCCGTAAAAGATAAATATATTCGAGAAGATCTAGAGAAAATTCCTCCGTCTTGCGAATATATGTTTAACCCTCAACAATTATCGTCTTACATACAAAAAATTGGAGGACTGGATAAAATAGAAAAAGTGGGAAATCGTAACACAAAACAGCCTAGGCCAAAATCTCCCCAACCCTCTACGTCGTTCGAGAACAAGCCATTTCGAGTCACCAATAAGAAGCGTAATGGGCAAAGAGAAACCGGTAGTTCGCAAAAACCCTTCGAAGATTTCTCTACAAATAGAAGAGGCGGACGGAAAGATAGAACCAGTAAAAGACATCATAATAAAAGAAAATGACTCGGTCACGTTTACGGGGGGATGTTTGAGGTTCTTCCACAAGAATTGGTCCCGGTTATACCCACCGAAAACGATACTAAGTTTAATAACTGGAACTCGAATTCCTTTCAAAAGTCACGCCCCTCTGGTATTGCCGAGCTTAGAACTAATGAAAAATTTTCAAACTCCGATTTCGCAAGCAATGTCGCTGGAGATAAATATACTCATCAAGAAGAAGGTTTTGGAAATAGCTCCTCTGACACCCTCCTTCATTTCACCAATGTTCCTAGTTATAAAATCAAACGGAAAGTCCCGCATAATTTTGAACTTGAAAGCCTTAAATCGTTTCATGGATCCCAAACCATTTCGTCTCTTCAATCACCATCACATGCACGAGTTTCTTCAACCATTCGACTGGATGGTGAAGTTAGATCTCCACCAGGCTTACTTTCATCTGCCAATAAGCCCAGAGCATCGACCTTATCTCCGCGTCAGCTACAACGGACAGCTACTTCAAATGACGTGTCTACCGTTTGGACTAGCTGCGGCTCCTCGGTTATTCGCGTCAGTGACGAATTGGGTTGCAGAAAAGCTACGAGAAATGGGAATGCGCCTTGTAGTATATCTCGACGACTTTTTGTTGGTTCACCAGAACAGAAAGGTCTTAGAGACTCACGTATCAACAGCCATCAAATTCTTAACTTATCTAGGCTGGTCAATCAACAAAGAAAAGTCGATCACAAAACCTACACAATCGATCGAATTTCTTGGAATCGCTTGGGATATTCACCACAATACGAAATCCCTTCCGCCGAAAAAGCTGGCGAAGCTGCGCCAAATTTTATTGACTCGACTCGCTGCAGGCAGTTGGTCCCTCAAGCAGGCGCAATGTCTCTTAGGGCACCTCAATTTTGCTTCCTTCATCACCCACCGGGGAAGGTTGCATTGCCGAACTTTGCAGCGTCACAGCAACCAGCTTCGCCGTGCCATGAGCAAGCATTGTCAGCTCACCGCCGATGCAATCATAGAGCTGGAATGGTGGCTGGAAAATGTACATTTAAAAACACCCATCCATCTGAAGAAACCTGTTACAAATTACTTAATCACGGATGCTTCGGATATCCAATGGGGTGCTCTAGTCAACAACATCAGTGTACAGGGGCCCTGGGAGAATCATCAGAAATCTTGGCATTGCAATATGAAAGAAATGTACGCGGTGATAGCTGCGATTTCAGCACACGCCACGAACCTGAAAAACTCGAAAATTTTGTTTCAAACAGACAACAAAACAGTAATATCTTACATAAAAAACGAGGGCGGAACGAAGTCACAAAAATTATTGGATCTGACAAAGAAGTTGCTAACCCTAACAGACAACCTCAATATTATACTACTCCCTTATCATCTTCCAGGAATATACAACACCGAAGCCGATCACCTGTCGAGGAACCAAACCGGCGCAGAGTGGTCACTTCAAGGCAAAGCTACACTAGATATATTTCAAAGATGGGGAGTGCCGGAAATCGACTTATTCGCTTCTCAGACAGCTCACGTCGTGCCGAATTATGCTACACTAGACTTATCAGACTCGAACGCATGCTTTCACGACGCCTTCAGCAGGATTTGGGACTACGAACTGGCATGGATTTTCGCGCCACCAGGCTTAATACCTCGAGTACTCAGTCACTTGAACACAGCCCGAGGTCGATTCGTAATAATAGCACCCAAGTGGAAGAAGCCCTTCTGGAGACCCGACCTGAAAAACAGATCCCTGACCCGTCCTCGAAAGATAATCAACCTTCACCATTACCTTACGGACACAGTTACAGGCCGAGCACCTCCAGGGGTCAGCAACCTACATCTGGAAGCTTGGCTCATTTCGGGTGGGATTCGTTGACTGTAAATTGGTCACCGGAAGAAAAAGATCTACTAAAATCTTGTTGGAGAGCTTCGACAATGAAAACTTATATCCCAATTTGGAACAAATGGTCTGCTTGGTGTCAGGATAAAAATATTAATTCTTATTCGCCCATGCCTACAGACGTAGCTAGATTTTTGGCATGTCTACATCTAGTTCATCGTTTAGCTTACCGAACCATTCTTGTTTACAAGTCTGTTATTGCTTCCATTTGTGAAACTTCATCAGACACAAAAATTTCATCCAGTCACATAGTTCGGCATATTCTGAAAGCAATATCTTTATCGAAACCAGTGCAGCCTAAAGCTCCTATATGGGACGCTCGAATTCTCATTAATTTCTTAAAAAATATGTTACCTAATCCTGACAGCCTTTATGATGTCTCTAGGCGCGTAGCAGCAATCCTCTTACTAGCCTCAGGAAGAAGAGTCCATGATCTTACTCTTTTGCATTGTGATGATAGTCATTTCATAGATAATCAAAATTCAATTACATTAATTCCCGCTTTCGGTTCAAAAACAGACTCCGCCAATTATAAACAGTCTAACTGGACTCTTCTTTCTTCTCCCGATAACAACATAGATCCATTGCGTTGGCTCAGAATATTAAAAAATCTGACTAATGATATCCGTGGACCAATTACAAACTTATTTATAACCACTAAAGGCACCCCTAAGCCTGCATCTCGTACAGTTATAGGAAACTGGCTTAAGCACCTTCTATCGGAAGCTGGAGTGCAAGCATCAGCTGGCAGTTTTAGGTCGGCGGTGGCATCCTTAAATTGGATGGAAAATTACTCTATTAACGATATTTTAGCAAAAGCTAACTGGAAGCACGAACAAACTTTTAGAAAGTTCTATCTAAGACAAATCGAATCCAATAATGATAACGTGACTGATGAACAATCTCTCTCTCTATTATTTTCTAATGATTAAATTCTTTATTTAATTTAAATCTATTCTATGTAACGTAATTCTTAATGTTTATATAACCCTGATTGGTAATTAATACAATACTTTCAATTATCACATTGTTGCACTTTATTACATTCCTTACAAGCCACCAGGAGATAACAAACAACTCTCTCATAATGGACTTCGGACGTCTAACGGAACACATAATATAAAAATTTTACCTTACAATAAAATTTGTATTATGTTTCCTCCTGACGTCCGAAGTCCACATAATGTCTTCCTGGTGGTTAACATTATCACCATTATGAGCCGAACAATGACAAATATGGCGGCTTGTCTTTGGCGGGAGAAAGTTTTTCTTAAGGGCGCTAGGGGGCGCTGCGGACGTACAGCGGAAACGGAACTGGAGATAGCGACATTACAGGAAATAAAAAGTAAGAAAACGATGTACTCTCTCATAATGGACTTCGGACGTCAGGAGGAAACATAATACAAATTTTATTGTAAGGTAAAATTTTTATATTACTGTACAAAAATTAATCAATGTACCTTACATTGTTATGTACATTTTATACAACACAATACACAACTATTTATTGTTAATGACACGATTGATTGATAAAAACTTAAAGTAATGATCACTGTATGTAACAATTGGCGACCTTATCGCTTAAAGCGATTTCTTCCAAGCAACCAGTGGATGGAGAGAGAGATAATAATAATAATGAAAATGGGGGTGTAGATGTTACCGATAACACTAGAAGCACACTAATGACTATATAAAGCATCTAAATGAAAATAATTTTATTTATAAGTACGTAATTTGTATAATTTTGTTTTTCTTACATGTATGCAATTTACATTTTAGCAATATATAATTTCAGTTTTCAGTTTGGGTTTCGCCGGCGTGGTGACTGTCGGCTTATACTTCGTCCAGAACTCTACACAGAACTTGGTGCTCTCCTGTATATTCGAAGCCCTTACCTCGCTCGCTATCAGTTTGGTCTTCTGCGTGCTTGTCGATTTATTCCCTACGAATCTTAGGTAACAACATCGAAAATTCTCAGTAGTATATTTATTTGTCGAAAAGAAAAAAAATGATTTTCTATAAGTCTTCAAAAAAATCGCAATGACATATTATGTCGCTCACTGTATAGTATAGTGGCACAACTCACAAACCATAATTTCGAGAAAACGCTCTCCGAAATTTATCAAAACCATAATGTTTAATTACGACAATCAAATTGTTTAGCATAACAGTTAAATCGTTTGTATTATATTATTACTGTTAAGTTTTTTTATTTTTTCTTTAAATTATCTATGGAAACCCACCACAGTTTTGTGGCGTTTTCTCGAAATTATGGTTTTTGAGTTGTGCCACTGTACTATTCAGTGAGCGATGTAACATATAAAAAAGTGCTTCTAAGTGATTTTTTAAATGAAATTTCTATGGGGGGATCCCATTAGGAACACATTTTTAAAAATAAAATTATATTCAAAATTATTACACTATCAATATTGATGAAGATTTGACGTGCCTTAATACAAAAATATACAAGAAAAAGTAGGTAGTGTTCAACAAACTCAACTATCTCAGACGCCCGGGATGAAATTTGTGTCGGGGAGGATTAAGTTTTTAAATTTTCCTTCTATAATAAATATCTACCTATATAGCATTCATCATCATCCCGTTAATTCGCCCACTAATGGGGCACAGACCTTACCTATGGATCGAATCGAATATGGACCATACCCACCACGCAGGCCCACGGGTCTAACAATGAACACCTATAAGCAACGCTTAAGCAGTGAGCGAGACACCGCTATTGTTTCGCATAGCGCTGCCTCGCCCAATATGCTACAAGAGATGATGGTAACCGTATTTTTGTTTAGGAGCTCATTGTAATAGGTCTTTGTCACCCTAGCATAAATCGACTCTTATAAAAATTGTTTAACCAGGACGAGCGTAAATAGTAATAGATTTGCAAAATAAAATAATAGGTTAAACATACTCATAATTTTCCAGGGTAATGGCTGCCGCGCTCTCCTTGACGGCCGGTCGAGGCGGCGGTCTAATCGGCAACTTGTCTTTCGGCTACCTCATCGACATTAACTGCGTCGTGCCAATCGTCGTCTTCTCGGCATTCCTATTTAGTAAGTATTTCAAGAAACTCAGTCTAGGTAGGTCCAACGAGAAAGAGGTCGCACGTTGAATCTCAACCTTATTGGGCAATGTCTTAAAACTCCCGAGTGTATTCTTGTCTTGAATACCGCTGTATTTCAAGTCAAAAGTTTTTGACCAAAGATTGTGCCCAGTGATGTATGGCACTGAGATAATCTCCTCATAAATAGGCTCTGAGTCACCCAAAGGGCTATAGTCAGAAGTCTATGCAGCGTGTATAAGTAGTTTCTCAGTACGCGTAACATTACTAACTCGAGAGACTCGAGAAACGCTCGAGAAGCTCGAAAAATGAGGCGAGTGAAATGTGCTTATACAAATTGTATAAGCACTTTTCGAGCTTCTCGAGCGTTTCTCGAGTGTATAATACAAGGACAATGAGATATTGTATAATACAATATCTCATTGTCCGTTTCGCTCTCACCCCTTTTCTCGGGTGTTTTTTTTTTATTTTTATTTTGACGGGTTAGTATTCAATGTACTAATAAAACGAGCATTAGTTAGAGTTAGAGAACTTGCGGGTGCAAGTGTATATTTTATCAAACACAACTTAGTCATTATAAATTGACAAGGTTAACAAAACTATGGTTTTAATATTTAATTGATTATTATATTTTATCAATTTTCTGGGTAGCTTAGTGGTTAGAGCAGTCGCCCGGATTGCGAAAGGTCGTGGGTTTGAGGCCCGTCCCAAAGTACTTGGGGCCGGTGGATTTCATAAGCATTTTTCACTAAGAATATTTTATTGATATTTAATTTATATTCTTCTAATGTCAATGGCTACTGCAATAATAATAGTAACAATATGTGACAAATTGATCACGTTCCATCAAAAGTTATCTGCAACAATAAACAAAACTACAAACAAACAGATATTGCAAGCCGCTTAAAATGTAATCCACAAATTCCGCATAGTTTAAAAAAAATGTCGCGAGCGAATATGTCTCCTAAGCCGTCTTAAGTGAACTATTTCGCGTAAGACGTGTTCATTTTCACTACTAACCAATAGCAATATATCACACATATAGCCATCGATTTTAATAATGCCCCCTATGCAGTATTTATGAGTAACATTTCATTTGCACCGGACCTGGGCTTTTTAGCATTGTCCTTTACGCGGACCAAATCGCGGGAAAACACCTATTTGTAGTATTGATAATATAATGGCTTATTCCGTTTATCCACCCTAAAAAAGCCACCCTAAGGTGAATACTCGGAAACGCGTGTTCGTCTATCCACCCTGAACGGAATAACGTATGGGTAAACGGAATAAGCCAATATAATTCGCAACAATTAGAGGAAGCACATTTTCTCGACCCTGTACTAAATTGTTTCTTTTTTCAGTTGCTGCTATACTCTGCTTCTTCTTGCCAAAGACAGGACAAGAAGCCCTAGACTAAACCGAAGCCAAACTAGATAGTGTAATTAGACTGTATGCAACGCGTAGTAACAAATTTCGATGTGGTTGTACATATCTTATGTAATGTAAATATTGAGGACTAAGTATTTATTAATGAGAACACAGACCAATGAACTATATTTTTGGATAATCTTTCAATATTCCGTTGTACGAATATGGTGATTTATTTATCAGTTATGCCCGTTTTCAAACCGGCTATTGTGGTGCAGTATACTGTTGTAAGCGAGATTCAAATATAAAACTAGTATTTTAGAGATGACTGTGTAATATATGAAATGCCTTAAATTATTATAATATTATTATTAAAGGTTTATTATTTGCCTTATTTATGGAGTGTTTTATTTTAACCCAAAAATAAAAACAAAGTAAATCAAGTCAGATAGATAAGACACTAAAAAAAATACAAAAGAAATAAAATAGTTTTGAAATTTACAATCTTAAAGTTAACATTACTTTGTCGATTTATTTCTTGTATCTACCTTTTAGCGTATTCTGTTAAGGTGAAGTAATCAAGTGGAGAAATTGGAAAATTTTGTTTAACCTAACTGCCTTTTTACTTTTGTTGTTTTTCTACAGTAATTTTACAATATAACGCCGTTAGTACACCGATGCAATCGCATGCGAATGTGAAACATTTGCTAAATCTTGTAAGTTTTATGGTAATAATTTTTCAATTCTTAGTTCTATTATTAGTTCGATGAAATAGCTGCATCCACAGAACAGATAAAAAGGTAGAACGATTAAGTGGGCGGGGTCGTGCGACCATCCATATGCCCAAAACGGTCATATGAACGTCATGTTACTCAAATTTCCAGTTTATTATTTGCACAATGTCATAGTGGTCTATGGTGCGTCGAAAAATATGAAAATATGCCGAATAGTGCCGTTATTACGAGTCGTTTGCGTAATGAAAATGTAATTCTGAAAAAAGGAGAAATTTCATTTCATCGGTAAGTAAAAAATATTGGATATATATCAGTATATCGAGATATAATCACATTTTTTTTTCCGTGAGATTGTGTCAGTTGTTAACATAGTGCTTGCAGATATCGATAAAATGCTATCGATAGTACTTAACCCTAATATTATGAATGGCAATCAATTTACATGCAATTATAACATTAAATCTATTAAGATAAATAGTTAACAGAATTTTTTTAGAGATTTGTATGTTTTTGCTACATAATAGTGTTAATTTGTTACATAATAGTTGCCGCCAATTGTTACATAATAGTGTTAATTTTCTATTAAATTTTGTAATTCATTGTGTAATGTGAACAATAAAGAGTTTTGTATTTGTATTGTATGTTTCAGTTTTCATAAAAGAAAAGTGGATTGACGCGTGATAGAAATGGTCAATGGTTTCCTTCTAAAACTAGTTACATTTGTTCAACATATTTTTCTGTAAATGATTTCATTAATATTAAATAATATGATAAATTACTTACAAATTTATAATGAAATATTATGTATTACATCTAATTTTCTGATTATATTGTGAAATTAAATGTTATATTGGGATATTATTGAAATATAGTTTCAATGAGACATCTTTGTTATTATTTTCCATTATTAATATATTGTGCTTCATATAATACCTAGTTAGTTAAAAAAATATGGATCATTAAATATACAAAAAAATATAGCTAGGTAAAAAAATAAAACTATGACTAAATAATAGAAAAAAGGCTAATTCAAATTATAAAATCTAGCCCCCAAAGGGCCAAATTATCATCACTGTCACCTGCTCTTGTATGTGACCCCGTTGCAGCCTACTTCTGATTAAAACTGACAAAAATCGCAGTTACATTGCTACTTTAGCAAGATAGGAATTGGTCTAATTGATCGAGCCGTTTCAAGTGAAAGTTGATTACAATCATTGTGAAGTGATTACATACATATGGTATTTATTTTCATTGGATTTTTTTTCGTGAATATGCGAAATGATAAATTAATAAATTATTTTATTATATTAACCCAATATATCAATGATTTTCTGATTATCGATATCAAATTGTGACTCACAGGGCACATCACTATTTCAGTGTTGACAGAAGCGTAAAATTCTTTGCATTATATTTTGAAAAATTGTTTTACTGCAGATACGTCGTGCAATAACATTTTTATGTAATGAAACATGTATTTCAAATGTTTACACATTAACTAATTTAATATCCGCGCACAAAATATAATATTTAGAACTAACAAAAGTAATTGTGCAAATTTTTATTATAGCTAGCCATACATTTTGTGTATTACTGTAAAATCACCTGTATTAATAGGCTAGTATATACTAATTTCGCTGAAACTTTTGTAGCCAATGGAAGCATCGCTCTCTTTGTGAGCTGAATAGGTGAAGTTTTATGTCTGTGTGATATCTGGCACGCGCGGTCCTAGTACTAATGTTAGTACGTTATCATTCTAACCTTTTTATCTGTTCTGTGAGCTGCATCCTAGTCAGCACAGTTTCGCAGTCAACTGCGAAAAGGGTCATTGCACAGACACACATGTTTCGCATTCAGGGTTGCCACTCGACCGGATTTCTGATGACTATATGAATATCACGAATTTTGTCTCTCAAAAGGTGACAACCCTGTCTTCATTCGCATAATGACGTAAAATCAGGAAAACTTGTGATGCGTTAAATATTAATAAAGGACAGTCATAAATAAAACAAATTCCAAACGTAATATATAACTTAGAAAATATATTTAGATTAATATGACAAAGAAAACAACAATTTTTGAAAAATATTCTTTTTAACTTAGCCTGGTGGATAACAGAATTGTTTAAACATCTAATTACAGTAAAATAAATCGAATATGTAATCATTTACACAAATGATTACAAAATTTACTACTAGCTATACAAGTGGCTTATATTTTATAATTAAATTATGCGTAAATAATGCGTAGTAAACAAGCTATTGCAACTAAATATATTCAAACAAAGTTTTTTTCTTTCTAATTGTCTGTTGAAATAATCATAGATATATATAACAGTTTCCTGGCATCGTATGCCTCAATTAATTTAATTTGTAATAATTACCACGAAATGTTGAAATAATAACTAAAGTTATTATAAGAATATATATTTAGAAGTTTATTTAAAAAAGAAACAAAAATAAATGCCACATATTCCATTTCCAATTAAGTATTCTCATTAGATAAATCATAGTGTGTTGTTTAGAAGATTGTAAAAGATACTAATATTAACTTCAATCTTATATTACTTTATCGGGGATATCAGTGATAAAGTTTTTATATGATATCATATTCAAATTTGATTATTTATTGACGAATCTAGTTATTGGCTCTTCCAGGAATTTTGTATTCGTTAAACTTAAGAGGTCGGTAACCTGCGGCACGCGAGCCGCGTGCGGTTCTTTGGCTGTCAAGTTGCGGCTCTCAAGTTTCATTTACAAAAAAAATATATTTTAACGAAACCCTTAAAATCGTGTAATCAATCCTCAATAATGTTATAATATACGTTTACCTTTGCTTAATATTATAAAGCTCCAGAATTTGTTTGTTTGTTGAACATGCTAATCTCAGGAACTACTGATTCAAATTGAATTAATATATTTGTGTTGAATAATAAATTTATTGGGGAAGGCTATAAAACATCACACTTGATTAAAGGATTGGTGCAGCAATAAACATGTTGCAAACATGAGAAAACTTAACATATGAATAAAATAGAAAGTAAATAATTCAGTGGCTCTTTAAAAAAAGTGAAAACTTGCAACTTTTGGCTCTTCCCTCTCAAAAAGTTGCCGGCCCCTGGTCTAACCATTTATGTATTTATAAAAATCATAATATAGTCATTGTTTCTTTAGATGATAATGATACATTATGTTACTGATTAGCATGGTTACAAGAACATTGTTTGATTGGATTTTCTTACTCAAAGCTATTTTAAAGTTATAGATTTGCAATGGTTGAAATGGTTACACAGGGTAAGTTATAGAACACCAACATGAGTAGGACTAGATAGCTTACATCGAAAACAATGCTCGTTCTATGACTTTTGGTAATTCCTTACAATATGCTTTAATTTCATTTACCACTTGCATGTTCATAGCAACATACATCTAGTACATATTTAATATGTAAGTACTTCACATAGCAGGCAAGTGTAGCATCTTACTTTAAATTAGAAAATCACTTATTCAGAGTACTGTGTTATTATTAAACTCTCAGATCATTGTTGTTTACGATATTTGCTAATCCTGGAAAGTTGCTGATGTTTTAAAAATAACCCTGTATTAAGCCTTGATAATTACCAAATGAATTTTAATAGATAATAGTACTCTTTGAATTAAACCAATAATAGAAAATTAGTACTTGTTAGCCTATCAGCGCGAAGTTTGGGCCGCACTCGGCACTTGAGGGAGGCCGAATTCGTCTACCGGCACCCCATCCTTATTTCTCACACTATCTGCGCCTGGTTCTTTGTCAGGAGCTGCTGGCGCTTTCACAACGTCATCTAAATATGACGTATCATCGTCTAGAGCAATTTCATCACCTGGAATAAAAAAAAAAGTATTATTGTTATAAAAATATGAATAAAATCCTCTTAAGTACTGCTTGCTCAATCCCAATACTACAAATTATTAGTACTGTAAAGATAGTGATATTATAAATTTTTTTTAAATTCAGGAACTAAGTATATATATGTAAACGTGTAATAGAGAGACTCATTGTAAAAAATATTTATAATTAGCTAGTATAGAAACCTCCTTGCGGACTTGGCCATCAGTTTCAAGCTATCACTTTGTCTCGAGATAATATTTTTGATTATAAAAACACTTTGTCTACACCCAAATATACTGTCTCAGGTCAAGAGTAGGATCCCGCGTGTATGGCCTTCGTAACGCATTTCTCAGCATAAAAAAAGGTCAAGAGTAAGATATCGTGTGGGCGCTCCTGGGAAAAGTGACATTTGGATGTAGACAAAACGTTCTCAAGTTCGTCATCCTATGTGTGCTGGGATATAAAGACTATAGTCCTAGGTCTGAATGATAAGGTAGCTTTATTATTTTCTGATACCCCATTGTACAAGAGTTTTAGCTACTTTTCTAAGCAATGTAAGTGATATGTATTAATTGTATAATATTTATTTATTAAAAACACACCTAAAGCATCTAATTCAGCAGCAAGCTCATCATCATCAATTTCTGGCATCCCGTATTGTCTGCCCAATGCTTCTTGCACTTCGTCTGCCTGCTCCATCATATCCGCCAGTTCATCATTGACATCCTAGAATTCAGATAATTGCAGCTTTAGTAAATAATAATCACAATATAAAATATATTTAATAATCTCATATCATTTATATCACAATATAAATGATATAAGATTATTAAGCATACTTTTACCATTAGAAGATATTACAGAAAGTTTTGAACTAGCAATATAAATTGTAACTGACATTTATACATTTTATTTTGTATTTTCAAAGATATGTGGCATATTTTTCAACCAAATTATTCAGTTTTGATGCTGAATATATATTCTATTTTCTTGGCTACACAACACAGTACAGTGCTAAAAGATAAAAATTCTTATGTAAGATTTATGATATATATTAAGTAAAAAAAATCCTATGAAGAATGTGAATAAAGCTAATAAAATAAAGCAATTAAACTTCAAATCAAGGCTTATTTTTAAAACTTTTCAATAATTCAGCTGAATATTAGGTTCAGTAAAAGTACAAGTAAAACACAAATAATATTTGTTTATTTAGTGAAAAGCTATTCAGCACATTTCTAATAAAAATCATATAGAGGGAAGAAAGGTTCAAAATTTTTTGGTGATATAGAGTTATACACATAAAATAGAATTAGTTAAATTGACCAAATCTAAATGTCTTAATATACTATCACTTTGACCATAAGCCTTTCACCCCTCTGTTAAGAATGCCTGTTATTACTAAAATAATTGATAAAACAACAAACCTCGATTGAATCAATGTTAATTTTTTTGAATTCTTTCTTCATTTGAGTTACTCCATCCTTCATTGCCGCAATGGTAGTATGTGTATCTTTCAATGTTTGCGTTGCATAGTTTGCCTGTTCCATATTAAATGATTGGGCTCTTAAATTCTCGAGCTGTTGTTCATACCTATAAATATTATTTAAACAAATTGTAGGAATTAAAAATAAATAAAAACTGACTCACTTCACTTAGAGTTTAAGTAAAGCTGTAGCATTGTTAACAATTATAAAGTTCAGATATCACTATGTATATAGGAAAATAATCTAATAAAGTGCTTAAACTAAAAATATAAACAAATCAGTGGAATGTAACTTACATCTTCTTTTGTTTTAAAACTCGCATTGCCTTTTGTTTAACTGAATTTTTAGCTGGACCTTCCCTCATTTTGTTCATTTGGTCTTTATATTTCCGTAGTTCAGTATCCAGTTTCTGAACTTTTTGTTCAATATTATCAGCTCTGGCATCTACCTAATATAAAAAAAAACAATAATTAAAATGCGACATGATAATCAATATTGACGAAAATTCTGATCATCACATGAAGAGCATAAAGTAGGAGAAGAATGTTATAAAAAATAAAATTATGATTCATCAACAGGAATCGCGATGAATTGGTTTAGTTAATACTATAATTAAACAATACTTACATTACCAATGCAATCAGTAATACTAGGTCCTGGTTCTTTAGGTTTTCCTCTACCGAATATTCTATTCATTTTGAAAAAGGTTTCAAAGACGTAGAATAGTTTTATGATACTAAGAAATTGATTTTATTCTCGCCCACAATAATCTGACAAAACACAGCAGACGAACCACAGATGATATAGTTCACAGACTTAGTAGGTATTACAGATAGGAATCAACCCATACAACGGTAGTCTGTTAGTGATCCGGCCTTAGAGTAAGTACTTATAGAGGGCTATTAGGTGTGCCACCGTAAGGGACAACAAATAAATCATCAGTGTTACTAGGTAGTTAAATGTTCCTCAATTATGGGGAGATATTTTGTTATTAGCAAAGGAGGAATAATTTGGTCAGCATAATTTGTAGAAATGTTCAGAAACTATCTACTTTTCTGCGATTTCGCCAAATTATAGCTGTAATCAACCACGTATGATGTAACTTCCCATGGATGAAAGAATTAGTAATAGAGGAACATTTTTTTTATTGTAGAAATATTGATACAGTATCTATCATCTTAAATTAACTAGCACATTGAAACAATGGGCTTGGTTACTGAAGTTTTCTAAATAAAATTAAGTTTGACTAAATTTGAATATGCTCAAAAAAGTCTAATTTAGACAAACAAAACTATTTTGAAAATTTAATTCAACCAAAATTAAAAAAAAAATGCATATAGACAATAAAGAAAACCGTTTAAATGAGAATAACGTACCTATTCAATGATATAATTATGTTTAGAAAGGCAAATATGAAACATTGTGATGATGTTGGGCTAATGTCAGTCCAGCAGCGCCACTGTATGTTTACTCAATAGCTGTTAAAAATACCAATTTTTAAAACCTTAGGTCATTTTAGAATGAAATAAAACGTTGAAACTATTGACACATGTTGATATTTTGTAGATCTTAGTAACCACAAAGTATTTTATCATTCTGACTAATCCAATCAAATATTTTAGACTCATATTTAATAACGAAATACTAATAAATAGATATCCAGAATCTGAATAATTATTGATCGAAAACAAATATGTAAGCCTGCAGAGATATTTGACTTTGATCAGTAATTTAATTATTCAGGTTCTGGATTTCATTACTTCAAGACAGTATTAGCAGAGCACGTATTAGTGTTTTCGAGGTATGAGCGTTTGTGCACCACTGTGTGTGTGTATCCGTTATCCTGATCGATTTCATAAAGAGACTTGACGGTTATCGTTAGTCCACCACGATACTTCGCTCAAATTCTAGAACCAGTCCCAGAAGATTTCTTATCTCAAACTAGAATATCTATAAACTAGCTATTTTCACGCGACTTCGCTTGTGTAAACTGTAGCCTATGTCAACTGCGTATGGTGTAGCTACCCGTATGTGAAAGAGTTTTTAAAATCGGTTCAGTAACCACTTTGTCCCTGGTAGTTTGAGATTGATCAAATATAATAATCGGTCCAGTGGTTTCGGAGCATATTCGATGTAAAAAATAAACAATAAAACCTTTAATTTTTATAATATTAAGTATAGCTAAATAAACATTCAACAACATCACATACATAGCTCATATTGTAAGATATATATTTTGGAGTACTAAACCCCGTATTTTGCAGTATCTGTGACAACAAAGTTACCATAATACCCAGAACTCCCAGACCCCAGACAATAAAGGAAAGTTAATTTTCAACATTTTTGGTTTTTTAATAATAAAAATTAGTGTAAATGTTTCATTACACCTGCAGACCTATTTTAATCTATTCTGCCGATGTACGCTGTTGAGTGTGTGAGATTTATTAAGAGCTATGACTTATTAGAAAAATCAATTAATAATTATAATAAAAATAATTATCAATTACTAAACCAATATTAAATAAAGTTACAGGTTGGGTGAAATCAAAGAAGATACTAAAATAAAAACCCAAGTAGCACATAAATAATATATTAACTAAAATAAGTACCGATTTATGTCCCAAAGTCATACTAACATTTTTAATCAGCACTGGTCAAGTTTCGAATCTGTTTAAAGGCATTTATTTTATCTAATAATGCTTAATGCCATATTATGGTTAATAAAAAAAGTATACCAATGTCAAAACTCCTATTTAAGTATTGGGTAATATTAATATAAAGCTGTTATCGTATTTCGGTGATATGAAAAGCATTATATATTATATAAGCATTAACGTAATATTATTTAGTGCACTTAGTTGTATTTAGTCATTTTCTAGAAACAAAGGTTTTCTAATGGCCTATGGTTGTATCGATTTAATGCTTATCCTATATACACATTGAATAAAGAACTAGTAAAACTTTAGTACCGATTTGTTCTTAAAGTATTCTTTAATCAAGCTCAAGCTCCTTTATCTTCTTAATCTATGCTTTTATAAAACATTAGGCTATATTTTGATCAATATTAAGTTATTTATAGAGATACAAGTAATAAATAGATCGTAATTATTTATTATGTGAAATAAAAATGTAAAATTATTTTATGTATTGTATTGTAATGGTGGCATTTTATACGCATCGCTGGCGCCATGGACAAAAAACGTTAGGAAAACAAAGAAAACAGGTGGATAAAAGAAAACTGAAAAAAGAGTATTCTAATTTAATTGAAGCTTTTAATAATCAAAATAAAAATGAAATAATCGTTTGATGATTATAAGCACTATAAGATACTTCTAAAGTGTAAAAACACGGCTGTACCTAAAATGGGAGTGTGTTATACGGTGAATTACGAGCTCTTAGTTTTGTGTCTAACCATAATACGATTAACAGCTCTACTACACCATATTTGAATACCTAATGCTCTAATTTTACGAGTCGCCATTTCCTTTCTTTTTCCAATTCTTACAAAATATTTAAAGTCAACTGTGTCAGATGAAAAGGGGTAAATAATCATTTATTTTGTGCACAGATGCCTATAAAAGCAATTATTTTGTTAAAACAATGCTAAAAAGCCTAAAATTCAACAAAAATTTTTGCTACTAGGTTATTTTTTTTATTATTTTTATTATATTAAAGTAAGTTTGCAAAGGCGCGTGTATTTTACACCACAAACTTGTATATTTTACTCCACAAACTGATGTTTGCAGCTTATTTCACACATAACGAGCTGTTTAAATCAATATTCAAAAATACTTAAAAGACCAGCCAAGAGAACATGTCATGACACTTACACAAAACAATAATTTAAACCGATTATATGTTTTTAAAATCTATTAAATATACTTTTTTTACAAAGGAAATAAAACAGTAAGCATTTTTATAACATTAAATTAACGTATTATAATTTTGATTTACGCATATCAATGAGGAAGTATTTAAAAAATAAAAATTAGTTCTTGAAATCATACTAGATGTCACTCGCGAGTTTTGGATTTTGTTTATGATATTCATTCAAATTTTATTTCTGACGTAATAAATGTAAATTGAGTATTTTCGATTAATAAATATGACATCGTTTTGTGTTTCTTATAATGTCTCACTTTCAAACTAATTTTAATTGTAAGTTTAACTTGTTTATTATGTTACGTGTAAAGGAACGATGTTTGGTTGATACGTCAACATTAGTGATGGTCAACTTATTGGTTGCTCATAACTTTCGTCGAATTCAGGTTTGGAATGGAGAACAAAAATGATGATGAAGATGAAGTGTCATTATGCATCCACAAAACGAATGATATTAATATAAATATCAAAATCAATTCAATCTAGACTGTTACATAGTACTTGTGAATTCGAAAACTTTACCAATGGTTCGCAAAACTAAGGCGGGAGATCTCTTACTGACAAGAAACGGCAAGAAACTCAGCAAGGGCTGCATTTTTAATTTCAACTAAACAACTCAACTATACTATATTTGAGGGATCGTAACCACCTAACGCACACGATACCACCGCAGAGATTTTAAGAGACCATAACAACTCTAGGTACTTAGTAAATAATATATTTCAATAAAACGGATTTCTAGAGTAGGTTGTGTAGAAATTCAAATTATTATTAACAATATTATTGTAAGTACCAAAAAGAACAAACCCGCCGTACGAATTAACTTAACATATGGCTCGACGTCCGCTGACGACATGCAAGATCAGTAGCAATATAATAACTGTACGTGTCTTTGACATTTGAAATTTAAAGTTACAACCTTGCTGTTCGTTTAAAGCAGACGTTTCTTGTTAATTGCTGAATGTTTATTAAGATGATTTAATTATGAATATAAGATTTAATAACTGATAATAGTTTTAAAAAGTCTTAATTTCGAAAGCACAAGTTATTTGCACGTTACACTTTGCACAAACGTCATTTTAGCCAGCAGTTATGTTATTTTGTACAAATATATAGTATATTTGATACATATCGGGTAAGTTTATAGATAATAAACGGATTTTTCTTAAAAATTATTGTTTTTATGACTTTGTGCTGATTAATAAACCCTATTCATTCATTCACCATACATAATATAAAAAAAAATATTGAGAATTGATGTAGTTTTGTTGTTGTAAGTTCAACAAACAACTAATAGCAATAAAACTAACTTACCTAGTTGTTATTTTTTCAGAACTTTTGTTAAATATTAAAATGAAAATTCCTAGACCTACTATGACATAAGTACCTATTTTATTTATAAAACGTAATATTATTGTATACCGTAGTTAGATGCCACTTTTAATTATATCACAGCATTCAATTGATTTCCATAAATTTAAAAAGCCTCTGTACTCACTTCCATTATGTTAGTTTCCATTTTCCTTTATACAAATAAAAAATAAATTTATTCAAAGATTACTTTGTATTAATCGAGTTGCGATTGCATAACTCGAACTAATTAAATTTCAACTCGATATTAATCCAAGTTATCAGATCCATAACAACACTAACAAATCTATTCTCTTTGGTTTAACGTCATGAATTGACGTTTAGATCCAACAATTTGTGCTGCCATCTAGTAACATAATTTTTTGTAGTTTCTTTATTTTTTTTAAATACTTCCTCATTGTAATATAGTCACAAAAAGTTCAATTAGCACTTTAAGGTGCTAATTGAACTTTTTGTGGCTATTAGAATGCTTTTACCCGACTTTATTAATGCTATTATACAAAAGTTGTAGTGCTATTGTACAGCTTTTATAAAGCTTAAAGTCGTACAAAGGGGGGGCCCAAATTTTGCG